TATCATAACATTGGAATGCAGTGTAACAGACTAATTGTAGCATTCCTACAAAATACTCCTATCTAAGCTTTTAGGTAAAGGTAAAGGTTCCCTTGCTCGAAAGCCAGTCGAATCCGACTCTAGGGTTGTGGTGCTCATCTCCGTTTCAAAGCCGAAGAGCCAGCGCTGTCCGAAGACGTTTCCGTGCTCATGTGGCCAGCATGACTAAACTCCAAGGTGCACGGAACGCTGTTACCTTCCCACTGAAGTGGTACCTATTTATCTACTTGCAATTTCTTGCTTTCGAACTGCTAGGTTGGCAGGAGCTGGAACCAGAGATGGGAGCTCACTCCATTATGCGGCACCCGGGTCTCGAACTGCTGAACTACTGACCTTCCACAGCCTGCAGTTCAGCATCTTAACCACTTGAGCCACCGCAGCTCCTATCTAAGCTTTTAGAGCTTTCATTTTGTATTATTTGCTTAGTTTGATTCCTCAATTTTTATGTATTACGTTATCACAGAACTAGCAGAGCACCTAATGTGCTGTTTCAGTGGATTTGGGGCAAATTTTCACACTATATCCACCATGCGAGAAGTCTCTGAAGACCCTTGTGTAAGGCACCAGCTCCACACTCTACCCACCTAGAGCCATTGAGGTATAGAGGAGATTCAAACCCTCATTTTTCTATGAAGCTTCCTGAATGACCAGTCACACTCTGTTAGCCTCTTTTATATTTTATTAGGATAAAACAGGGAGGCGAGAAAATGTATACCATCTTAGCCACAGGAATATTAATTAAATCTATATAATTATATTTATAAGTGGTAGTCATGCAAGGACTTGTGGAGGAAATCTAATTTTCCGCTCCCCAAGTATTTTCTCTTTCCTTTCCCCGAAAGCCCCCATAGCCTCCTACTTCCTTCTCACCCACCAGCCAACCTACCTTTATCTGCCCCCATGTATATAGCTTTCCCTCCTTCCACCCCCTTGGCAGTGTTTCTTCAGGAAAAGAGTGCCATTTGCCAGGCCAGTCTAGGCCCAGGTGTGTGGTGCCAGCTGCCACTGCCAGTGCCATGCAGACCCAGGTGTGTGGTGTGAACTGGGCCTACTCCCACCATGCTGAACAGGCTCAGCATGGTAGGGAACCTATGAGGACTTGCCAGGGACGCCTCACTTTCTTCCTCTGAGAGGAGGACATCTTGATGGGTGTTTCCCACCCTATCCTTTTGGTGGGACACACCCCTCAACTCAATTTTGTTCCTGCCTCAGTAGGGAGGGCAGCACAAAGTTGGCACTCATGCTTTTTTCCCTATTTTTTCAACTTATTCATTCTTAACTCTTCATTCTAAACTTCTTCCTCCTCTTCCACTACCTCCTCTCCTTCGCTTGCTCTCATCTGCCTCCCGCCTGCTCAGTTCTGTTTCTTCCCTCCCTTGCTATCCACCCAATACTCCAGCCGGAGCATGTCAGATTGAAAAGATTCAGATGGCTTCCTCTCAGAAAACGAGAGGGAAGATGCTGTGACGCTTTCGCAAGCCAAGCTAGGCAAGGGTAAAGGCTGTCGCTTCTGCCTCCTCTGCTGCTGCGGGCCCTGCTGCGCCAAAAGGAAACTGCACGAAAAAGCAGCCTCCTTCCCCATCCACAAATCGCGCTGCGGGCACCGTTTTGGAACAGGTGGCTAAACAGAGCCCCCCTGAGGAAACGGGAGGGCTGCAGGGTGGCTATCACTGCTACCATAAGCCAGACTATGGTCGACAATGACATCCTGGACATTCCTAATGCCCAGATTGTAACGGCGACTGCCTCTGATGATATCGGGCCACCAACAGGCCTTCTCATGAGTAACCCCAAAAGGGACGGCAACACACTTTTGACATCAGATGTAATGCAGGTTTTCCGGCAGGCCATGAGGGAGGAAATCGCTAACTTCCACAGAGACTCCCCTGCAGGGGATGGTTGGACATTTTTACCCACATATTTCCCCCAGTCACTTCCCCCAGGGAGAATCTGATAGAAACTACCCAGAGGAGGGAAGACCTCGCTGACCAACTAAGGCAACCAGAAAAGCCCATTTTTCTGCTATGAGGGATTACCCTCAGTGGGACCTTTCACAGACTGAGGACAGTGAGTTGGGAGATAGGGAGGAAGGGGAATTTCTGTCAGATGAGGAGGGGGAAGAGGAAATGGAGGTTCCAGAACCCTCTATAAGATTTTTTAAACTGGAGGACTACCAATACTTGCTTAGAAAGACATTGTCTGTCTTGGAACTCATGCCCAAACCTAAGGCAGAGGATGCCACCAGCTCTGACCCTATGGATGGGTCCAGACCCAGAGGGAGCAAGGAATATTTCCCCAGGACTCCTGGGACCAAGAAAGTTTTTCATTTTCCTGAATTCTTAGAAAAGCAGTTGGTGAAAGAATGGGCCAAGCCTATGGCTAATAAGCACTGCCCTCCTAATATTAAGAAACTGTATGCCTTGCCTAACTTTACTGATAAGTTTTTACAGTTCCCCTAGTGGATGCACCGATAACTGCACTCCAAACTTCTGGCCTACTCTCTGAAGACGGAGAGGGCATGGTGAGAGATAGCCTGGACAGGAAAGCAGAATTCGCACTATGCAAGGCCCATGAGGCCACAGTCATGGCCATCAAAGCTTCAGCTACTGCCACTGTGGTAGCGAAAGCGTCCATTGCCTGGTCCAAGAAGCTCGTCCAGCTCATCTCCCAATTCCAACAGATGTCTGGCTGAAGGTGCAAACAGACTTCTTCAAGCCTCTTCCTTCTTAGCAGATGCCACCTTAGACACTATGATCTTCTCTTCAAGAGCACTGGCTTCCACGGTAGCTGCCAGGGGAACCTTCTGGCTACGGGCATGGCAGGCCGACTTACACGCTAAAGCCATCATCACGGCATACCCCTCTCAGGGCGGCCACTTGTTTGGAGATTCCTTGGATAAAATCCTCATTGAGACAAAGGATAAGAAAAAAGCAATGCCAAGGTCATTGGGAATGCCAGATAGGCGAGGTTCAGGTAATTTCTCCTTTCGTGGACAAAGGCCTCGTATCAGATTTAACCAAGACAATAGACGATTTTCATGGAAAACATCCAGACAGAACTTCAGGAGAAATCCTTTTCACAACAGGTCAGGCAAACCTTTCTTCCCCAGAGATGACAAGTCCAGTAGAGACAACAAATCCCCCAAAGCTTGACTGTGCTTCAGCCCCCGGTAGGGGGTCGCCTGCTCTTGTTCCATCAGGAATGGGTCAATACAAACATGGACAACTGGCCCCATGAGGTCACTTCCAAAGAAATTCCATTGAATTCCTGCTACGTCCCCTCACCAATAATAAAAGGCCCAGTCAAACTGCACAGAACCCTGGATGCCATCCAACATCTATACAGCATTCTGGCCATAGAACTGGTTCCTCCATCCGAGAGAGAAAACGAAGTTTACTCAATATTTTTTACAGTTCCAAAGAGGAACGGAAGCTGGAGGGTCATTCTGGACATAACATTTCTAAACAAATTCATAAAGTTATGCTGCTTTTGCATGGAAACTCTTCGCGCCATTACAGAGGCCCTCTAGCTGAGAGAGTTCCTGACCTCAATCGACCTAACCGAGGCATACCTGCATGTGCCCATCTTCAATGGTAACAGAAGATTCCTGCGCTTCTGCATACAGGGCCAACACTGGCAGAGTGCTACCCTTTGGTCTATCCACTGCTCCAAGGGTGTTCTTCAAGATGCTGATTCATCCCATTGTATTGCTGAGAGAGAGGGGTATACGTGTTCACCTCTATCTAGATGACCTCTTGATCCACGCCACACATGGGACTGCGCTTCCACAGGCCAGCCACCGGGAGGAATTAGCGAGCTCATAGTATAGAATTTTCTTCCCAAGAGTGCTTGGCTTCTGCCCAGGCAGCAATTTCCCGCCCCAAAACCACATGACCTGGGAGGAGCCAGCAGTCTTCCCTCAGTTCTCTTTTTGCCGCCACTGAAAGAGGACGTGTGTTCAGCGAGCTGAAGACTTCTGTGGTAAAAGGTATGGCCTCAGAAAAGCAAAAAGTTGCTTTATTCAAGAAATGCCGTACTTGTGGAGCAAAGATGGCTCAATCGGATGAGCACTCCTCTTGTCTCCTGTGTCTGGGAGAGACCCACAACATGGCCTCCTGTAAGGCCTTGACTCCTCAAGCCCGTGAAGGTACAGCGATGCGCTTAAATGCTGCCCTTTGGAAAAAGGCTCTGGCAGCCCCAGAACCCCCATCTGAGCAAGACACTATGCATGGCAAGGGCTTTAAACCACCTTTGGTGAGTTCCGCCCCATCTCTCGCGCCGGCCCAAGTCCCCACGGCCCACTCAGCCAGGGCAGAGTCTGAACAATTGGTGAAAAAAGCCAAAAAGAAGAAGCGCGTTCACGAACGATGTTTGCCACTGTCTCCAGCGCCATGGGGTGATACATCCAAGGTTGGCCCAGAGTCTGCTTGGCGCCGTCAATCTCCATCACCTCAGCGCCAACAACTGGTCAGTACCGATGTTCGGCCTGCTTCCAGAGCCCGCTCCTTGTCTCGGCACTGTTTGACGTCGAGGTCCCCTTGGTGCCGATCCTTGTCGGTACTGATGATGTTCGATGATTGCTCTCTTAGCTTAATACGGACATCCCATCAGCACCGATCTTACTTATCTGATATTTTGCTGTAGGATCCTCTGAGTCCGGGACCACGTTTCGATGCTGGCGACATGCCTCCTCCATGGTACCCCGGTGCTTGCAGCCATGTGTCGGAGGAGTCGACGTTCCAGACAGGTTCCTTCTCGTTCCCCTTCACCACACTCCTGCGTCTCTCGCCGGGAGGCCTTGGATGATCACACATAGGACCACCCATTCTTGATGTTGGAGGCGGAGGCGGCTTTGGATATCAGTTCTGACCTTGCTTCTGTACCATCTCCTGATGATGTGATTGGAGAGAAGCACTCAACATCACCGTCAGAAGATCTCCTTTGCTGACCAAATAGTGAGGATGGCGAAGGCCCTGAAGCATCCTGCTTCGAAGCCAAAGTCAAAGGACTCCCTAATGCAAGCCCTCTTTACTCCAGACTCTGGACCGGTGGCTTTTCCGCTACTACAGGGTCTGCAAGAGATTATATTGGCAGCTTGGGTTCACCCAGCATCAACAGCACCATCTGCTAGACGTCTCAAGGGCCTTTATGGGTTTATAGACTCTGGCTGTTCTTTTCAATTTCATCACCTCAAGCCAAATTCCTTTATTTCAGAAGTTATATTGGCTCGCCCCCGCTATGGGTTGTGTACCTCGCCTAATGACAAGGAAGGCCGTAAACTCGATGCCTTGGGCCGCAAGATTTACTCGTCAGGGGCTATGGGCCTTCGGGTGATGGGCTTGTACAATCAATTGCTCTGGGGAAAACTGCTGCCCTATATACAAGCATTACCCCAGAAAAAACAAGTGCTGGCTAAGGCTATTGCCGAGGAGGGCATGTGTTTGGGAAAACAGCAGGTCACTGCGGCACATCATGAGGCAGATTGCCATATATATAGACGAGCATAGCTGAATGCTGTTTGGTTTTTTATTGCACTGAGTTATTAGAAGAATTTTGGTGCAATAACTGGGGGCCCCAGTTAATCCTACTAGTAATAGTTCTAGCAATAATAAGAGTCCATAAGATTCTCTTAGGAAGTAAATATTTGATTTTGGGCATGAAATATATCACTTTGGAATCACTTAACAGTGTTTTCCATCAGTGGTGACCACAGTGTAAATTTGTCATACAATATGTTGAAAATATATTACTTTAGAAGTGTTTATTCAGCATGCATGTTTCAGGATTTGAGTTACAAGAATTAATTCTCTGTATGGGAGCTTGCTAGATGCAGTTGCGTACATTTCCAGTAATAGGATATTCACTCTGTCTTGATTTCTGTATTTGTCACTGCATTCATAATCATCTTTGTTGTATCAGATTATTTTATCATACTGAATTGGAATTATCCTTGTATTTTTATAATCTTTAGGTGCTGTATATGATGTAAGCCATTATAATGCTTTGCTTAAAGTCTACCTTCAGAACGAACACACATTCTCTCCAACTGAATTCTTAACAAAAATGGAAGAAGCTAATATTCAGCCCAATCGAGTAAGTATTTCATAAACGCATCATCCATTTCTCACTAATATTGGATAATAAATAACGTTTCTGGTTTTCACTTTGTTTTGCAGGTCACGTACCAGCGACTGATTGCTGCCTATTGCAGTAAGGGAGATCTTGATGGTGCCAGGTAGTGTTTAAATATTTTACAGCTTAAATGCTTCTTAAAGATGTTAAACTTGAAATCAGATTTAAAATTTGTGAGTTGTGTCAAACTAGGTAACATGCAGTACTGCAGATCTTCAAAATTAACTCTATATGTAAATACCTTTCAATTCAGAATATAAGATACAATATTGATTTTATATGATTTTCCAAAGAAGAGTATGGATGACTTTCTTTTTCATCCTACAGCCAGATTCTTGGTTTTATGAAGAGCAAAGACCTACCAATCACAGAATCTGTGTTCAGCACACTTGTGACAGGCCATGCAAGATCTGGGTAATGATTTTCTGTTTCATATTAATGGAAATTATGCAGTACGACATTATGTATATATGCCCCATAATCTAGACATCTGGGCATATGAATTTTTTGAGGGTATAGGGTTCCTTGTTAGTTTTGCTACCTGTCTGCATTTGGAGGTATTGTGTCCTCATAGGTTTTCTGAGGCAGACACTTTGTTCTCTTGGGATTACCACCATTTTGGAGTGGGGTCAGCCCTTCTTGTCTAGTTCTTTGCTTATTCTGATTCTGTAAGTAGTTGTCCCTAGTTATAGTATTTTCAGTCCTTTTTCTTTGTTACCGCTCCTATTTTTTCTGCAGCTTTTTATTGAAACAAAATTTCATATTGGATAAAATATTATTCTGCGTTTTAGTTTACATGCTTGGCTTCAATCATGGTTCTGAGTTTACTGTAATGTTCTCTGTGTTAGACTGCTCCTGAAGATGGCCTGGAATGTGGCAACAAGACTGATAGCTCGGGTGTGAACTATAGGCAGCATATTACTTAAGTGTTGAAAGATCTTCACTAGCCGTCTTTTTTCTTGCACCCAATTAAATGTGCTGGTTTAAACCTATGGAACACTGCACAATGAGATTCTGGTTACTTACAATTCTGCCCCTGGACATTGATTTTCCCCTCCTAGGGTTGACAGGTGGAATTACCAGGTTGGCAGGGGACTCCTGACCCACTTCCGGGAGACCGGAAGTGGATTCAAGCCACTTCTGGTAAAACTGGAAATGCCTATTCTGAGGGACATCTGGGGGCAGTGCTCTGCTATCTGGCCAAACTCTATGGTAAATTCAGCTGAATTTACCATAGAGTTTGTCCAAATACCAGGGCATCACCCCCAGATGTCCCTGACATGCCCATGTCACTTCTGGTCATTTGGGGGTGGGATTTCCCCAGTCAGCTGGCCAGTGGCAGGGAAGCACCCCCCCCCCTGGTGGGGGTCTGGCAATCCTGCCCTCTCCCAAAACTCTGATGCCATCTCTGGGGCCTTTCACCTCCAGGCCAATACGTTTTTCTTCCAACTTTTAATAGATTTGTCCCCCTTTCTCCATCCTCCCCATTTCCTTGTCTTGACTCTACCAGGTTGTTTAGTCTATTAATTGTTTTTAGTGCTGCTGTTTTAAAATATGGTACATTTAAAAGAACCAGTGGGTATACTTTTATTTAAGTTAGTGTTATTTAGATTGTTTTATCATTTTACTTTTTTGCACACACATGTGCACCTCATATTGTGAACCACTTCAAGTACTATACCAGAGAAGCATAATAAAAATATTTTAAATAAAATGGTGAGCGGTGAAGCATCCTTGATCCATACATAATGTTGTATTTGTAATCTTATTAAAATGTGTGTATATCTCTGAAATATATTTTTCCTTCTAAATCATTTAGCGATATGGATAATGCAGAAAATATCCTTTCTGTGATGAAAGATGCTGGAATTGAACCTGGTCCGGACACTTATGTCACATTACTGAATGCATATGCGGAGAAAGGTGACATAAACAAAATTGAAGAGGTAATAGATATGGCTTGCATAGCTACTATTCTGCCTAAAATTGGCTGTTTAAAGGGGCATCTCTGCCACTATGTTGCAGTTCCAGTGAATACCGGTAGTTTTTGGAAGATGTCCCAGAGATGCTTGCAGGAAAATGATCAAGACTTCATATCAGCACAGTTGATCAAAGAGTGTTCGATGAACAAGAACACTCTAGATTCCATCCCATTGGCATGTCCTCTTAAAATAGTCAAACCCACGTACCTTCTTATAGACCAAAATGTTACATTGTGGTGATTATAGGTCCATAATAAGGTCTCTGAAGGCATTTAATATTATATGTGTTCTGCTGTTACAGACCCTGGAAAAGATTGAAAAGGCTGATAATTACCTTTTGGACAGGGACTTGATGGACATCATCTTTACTCTTGCTAAGGCTGGGTATCCTCAGTATGTACAAAATATTTTGGAGAAGATGCGATATGACAGGGGATACATTCCAGGTAATAATTCAGTAAAATGTCAGGAATTTAGCAGGTTTTTTAAAGGAAAATTTGTTCAGTGTATTATTCTGCTAACAGCTGCTTAATGGGAATTTATGGTTACTTATTTAATAATACCCTATTTGTGAAGCAGTCGTAAAAACCGTAGAACACAAAATAGCACTTTCAAATTAATTTTGAAAGTAATATTAATTAATATTAATTCTAGTGGGAGGGCTTCTAGCGTCCTGGCCCCACTGATGGACCTCCTGATGGTACCTGGTATTTTTGGCCATTGTGTGACAGAGTGTTGGACTAGATGGGCCATTGGCCTGATCCAACATTGGCTTCTCTTATGTTCTTATGTTGAGAGTAATTTTTGAAAGTAATTTTCAAATTAATTTTGAAAGTAATATTAATATGTAATATTAACATGTAAAATGTGTTGCAATGTTGAATAAGTGCTTTTATTGAACTTTTCTAATGTTATATACTGTGTCATAATCTTACTTTATTTGTGGCTTGATTATGACCATGATTTATTTACTCTTGGCAATATTAAAATGTAGGAACCTAGACAATCACAAACTGGTTTGTGATATTGCAACATATAAGAATAAATATAACCTATACCTATTACTTTAATAATAGTTTTAAAAAATTATAATTCTATGTACACGACGAATTTCCATGTTAGCAATACTTAAGGTCTTAAACCAGATATATTTTAGCATTATTCAATGAAAAATGAACACTATAAGAATAAGTGATAGCCACAATACTTTGTAATTTGCACACACTAACATGTTAATTTGATAAGTATCTGTTTCCTTTACCTATTGTCCATGATGTCATCCGATCTGGACTATAGTTATTTCTTTCTTTACTGGGAGGCTCAAACTGAATTGACACCTAAAAGTACATTAAGGCTGCAGTCACTTACCTATGAGTAAGCTTGCTGACTGCAGTGGGACTTGTTTTGAGTAAGCATGCTATAAGTGCTTTAAAATAAAGCTTTATTCCTGCATGTGAATCCACGATGGCTCTCCCCCCAGAACAGCTCTTCATAGTGGTATTTTTTTTCTTCACTTAAAAATTTAGATGCCATGAATCTTAGTCTCAACTTAGTTACACAAGGCTTAGAAGACACAGCGTTTCAAGTTCTGAAGTCATTTCCTACATCGTCATTAGAAACACAGAATGGAGATGATCTAGACCGTGGCAACTTCTTCTTACGGCATTGTGTAAATATGGGAAAGGTATGTGAAATGCTATGAGACATATAATGGACTTAAAAATGAATGGTGACTTGTGAGGTCCCAAAATCTGTGAAACTGATGGTCTGGAGAGCAGTGAGGTGCAGTAGGACTTGGGGCACCTGGGTCCAAATCCTCCCCTCAGCCTGGGCCGGTCATAAAGCTCCCCCCTCCCTATACGTGTTTTCTAAAGAGCACTTGTAAAATGCGTGTATCAGTTCTTTCTGGTAAACAGGTTTCCTTGTTTTAAAAATCTGTTGCGCTCATAAAAAACCTGTTGCTGCTCATTTTGAGTGTATACTTTTTATTTAACTCCATCAACTGCCAGGTGGATAGTTCTGTAGTGTCCATTGTTCCCTCTAAGCTGAGTTAGTGTGAGCTAGCTCACATTTTTTTAGCCTCCGGCTCACACCTTTTTGTTTTTGCTCAGGAAGGATGGCTCCAGAGAAAACTAATTTATGCAGTAGCCACATCACTTGCTCACAACTTTAATGCCAGTAGCTCACAAAGTAGAATTTTTGCTCACAAGACACATCTCTTCTCTTTAGATCTAGATGAGGTTATTTTCATCTGGAGTCCTGGTTGCAAATAATCCTTTCTGTCCAGCATCATTAGTGTCTGGCTTCCTGGTGTTGACTTTGTGACTCTTATTATGCCTTCTCTGCCAACTGGCTCCTCTTCAAGCAGTTGTTATCAGTGAAACTTGGCCATTTTAACACAGTTGTACATCGGCTTGGGGGTGTTTTTTGGGTTTTGTAGGAAGAGCCAGTGTTTGCTTCTAAGAATAACTGAAGCAGCCTTTTCACTCTTAGTTGACTAGTCATATGTTGTGTTAAATTGTCAAATCTTAATTTCCTTCCAGCCAGCAGCAAAGCTGAAACAATTTTGCGATGAGTTGAAAGCAGCCAGTCTTCATACTGCACCCCTACAGTTTGCTCTGCATACTGCGTTGGAGTTAAAGAAAGATGGTACTTTTAAAATTACCTCCGAGGTTTGTTTAGAATATTTATTGCTTAGTCTTCTATTTGTTAACACTATATTTTTTCTGGGTTCTTTTAGCTCTTGCAGTTGACCTGATGAAGATAATGAAAAAAGAAGGCTTCCCTGTCAGACCTCACTATTTCTGGCCATTGCTGGCTGAACACCAAAAAGAGAAAAATGTTCAAGGTTAGTTTTCCCAGTCATATCCCTGGTTAATGTTAAACCATTTTAACACATGAGCTCTGTAGCCAGGAATAAATCTAAAGACTAGAAGAGTTACTTATCCACATTTCAATACAGGCAGCCTCCTAAAAGCATCATGTTGGTGCAGGCATAGAAATCTATCTTTTGCAAAGGATTTTTTGAAAATAGTTTTTCATTGTTGTTCTATTATGTCATAGGACTAATATTCTTAAATGTAGAACACAATGAATGCAAATTCTTCTAATTCAGTTGTTGCCAAGGTTCTTGGTGCGTTAGTGTATCCTTGGCTGTACGTGTGTCTGATCTTGAAAGACATTAATACTGCAAACAAAGGAACCTTCTAAAAAATCAGGTACATTGTGCAGCATTGGTGTAAAAGTTGAAAAAACTGAGATGAGCGTTTCTTACTCCTGTGCAGTGATAAGTTAAATGAGAGCTTAGTTACAATAATAAAGGTAAAAAACCACCATTGTTGAATGAGTGATCATGACCTGACAGCACGCTGATTGAAGGTCTGAAACGTTCAATCTTTGGATTTTTAAGTAGGCCTAAGCATTTAGCACACACTTTTCCCTGTTACACATGGGGATGTCTATAGGATATGAATAAAAATTGAACAAATACTAAATTTTAAACTACAATATCTAATTCTTTGGTTTGCATTATTGGTAATTCAGAAAGAGTGGTCTCATAAAAAGATGCTTTTAACAGAAGTACTTCCCCCTTGGGGAAATTAAAAACTGTCTTTTTCATCTTATCTCACAGTATAATGTGCTTTAGAATGAGATGCAGAGTTGTTAGTGTGACATTGGGTGACAAACAAAATGCACAAACAACAAAAAAGTGCTTTTAGCAGGCTGTTCATATTGCAATTTTATTTTAAATATACAGTCACGTTCCAGTTTAAAAGAAATGCTGAAACAAGTATTCCCTAATTGTTTCTGGCTGTAAAAGTGTGTCAACCCCTTTTACAGAAACCTTTATAAAACAATATTCTGTTCTTGTTAACTCTTTAGGTCCCTGATGTGACTTTTGAGTCCTCCTTAAGTTGTCTCTGAATAGTTTCAAAACTAGAATGTTATCAAAAGTATTGTAAAACCCCAAAGTATTGCTGAAATAGACTTTGGCTAAGAATATTTAGCAAAAGTTCTGTAATACCCATGAAAAATGTATGGTTTTGCATATATGTAACTGTTTACATCCTGAGAAATACTTTTCTGTTACATAATCAAATGGTTTAGCAGCTTTTCTGGTGGTCTCAAGTGCAAACATTTGTACAACTATTGGAGAGGACAGTGAAAAGGACAAGCAAGGAAGGATTTGTGTCTTCAGTGGTTATTGGGGCAGTGGTAGATTTCTTCATGCTGCAAGTCTGTCATTGCCCCAGAAGCCCAAAAAATAAAAGCTGAAGATAAAGGAGGAGGAAATAATGATGTCTCAGCCAACCTACAGGAATACCTTTGTCTAACAATAAATGTCCTGCTCATGAAACTTTTGTAATGAACCTAGAAAAACTTTTCACTTGAACTTGCAGCTATGAAAGACAAGTGTGAAAGCTCCAGCTGTGCATACCAGAAGCATCTAGTATTCTTTTAGCTATTCAGTCTCTCTTAATGTATGAGCATTGCCTTCATTGTGGTGTTATTGATGTAAGTGTTCTTCCTTCTGACAGGTTTAATGCATATTCTTGTCCACTGCTATTTTGATGATATAATTAATATGTATGATATTTCAGGAAATGGTAGAATGGAACCTAGCTTGTAAAATGGGAAGCTTAAGAATCTGAGGAAAGTCATAAGAAAGTATATACACATATTTGATTTATCATGAGAGTAGCAGAAAAAGAACAGGTTGAATTTAAATCTGAGTTGACAATACAAGTAAATGTTGCAGGGAATGAGCCAAGCTGATATGCTACCAGTATACACTAAATTTCAGTAGACTGGTTTAAATGAAATGCTGACCAATGTGGAACCTTTACATGGGGGGGGGGTTATGCTTAAAAAAAAGACCTGATGACAAGCCTTGGAAAGTTGTTACCAAGCATGGATATGGAAGCAGTGTTACTTCATGTCTTGCTTGTGATTTCCTTTAGTTTTCCAATACTGATTTAACTTTGCATAGGGAGCTCCCCTTGAGCTGGTATAGCCTGTGGAGTCAACAAAGATGGGTGTCAACATTGTTAATTATTTGGGGTAATTAAGAGAGCCAGTTTGGTGTAGTGGTTAGGAACCCGGATTCTAATCTGGGAGAACTGGGTTTGATTCCCTGCTCCACATGCAGCTGCTGGTGTGACCTTGGGTCAGTCATGGCTCTCTCAGAGCTGTTCTCGAGAGAGCTCTCTCAGCCCCTCCTACCTCACAGGGTTTCTGTTGTGGGGAGTGGAAAGGAAGGTGATTGTAACCCACTCTGAGACTCCTTCAGGTAGTGAAAAGCAGGGTGTAAAACCAACTCTCCTCCTCCTTCTCATCCTCATTGTCCTCCTCGTCCTCACATACGTTCTGTGGCACCCATCTTCTGGAATGGTCTGCCTGAGGAGATCAGGAAGGTTCACATACTTATGTCGTTTTACAGAATCTACAAAACAGTAATGTTCAGCAGGGCATGTTTATAGAAAATATAATGGAACAGCTCAGGAGGCCACGTCTATAAGGGAACAAGCAAAGGACCAGAAAAGACTTGGACATCTTCCAGTGATAGACAGCAGGCCCAACCACGTTGTGTGGGTAATGAAACAGTTGTGGTCACAGCTAGGCCTGTTTCTGGCAACTCCTCCTCCTCTATCAAGTGGCATAATGGGGTGGGGAGGATGGGGCCTTTTCTGGGTGTGTTTTGGCCTCGAAGTCTATGTCTGCTTTCTTCAGCTTCCCTTTAGAGAAACCAAGGTTGGATGGCTAGGCAGTATTGTTGTATAGCAGTCCTCAAGATGGCCCTGAGATCTCAAAACATAGTCTCAGTGGACATTATTTTCCTAAAGCTTATGAGAGTTGTTAGTATTATTTTGGGGAGTTTAATCTCCCATTGTGTGGGGTGGTGTTCTTTTAATTTTATTTTTTTAAGAGTTCAGATTTTTCTGCAAACCTGGGATTTCCTACAGGTTTTTAGAGAAATCTCCCCTGTCTATCCCTGGCTTTATTTTGTAGATTTTTTGAGCCACATTCTGTACTCTTGTTTGGAATGCGTTGCGATAGGATTGTACTCTATTGCAAGGTTTATTGAAAGCCATGGACTCTAATCTGGAGAGCTGGGTTTGATTCCCCACTCCTCTACACGAAGCCTGACTTGGGCTGGTTACAGTTCTCTCAGAACTCTCTCAGGCTCACCTACCTCACAAGGTGACTGTTCTGGGGAGAGGAAGGGAAGGCGACTGTAAGGTGCTTTGAGACTTCTTAGAGTAGAGAATAGGGGGGATATAAAAACCAACTCTTCTTATCACCTTCCTTGTACTGCATTATCTTTGTAACCTACTTTTTGCATTGTGGTGCGTCATGCCTTAGACAATTTTTTGTTTGCATTTTGTTTTTCAGCTCTGTAATCCTAGTACTGTTGCATTGGTTAGTAGATACTTTATGCTGTCTGAATGGTTTTTTGTGTTTTGTAATGTAATTAAGATTGCTGGGGAAAAGATCAACAACCCCAGATATGCAGACGATACCACTCTAATGGCAGAAAGTGAAGAGGACCTAAAGAGCCTCTTGCTCAGGGTAAAAGAGGAGAGTGCAAAAGTAGGCTTGAAGCTCAACATCAAAAAAACTAAGATCATGGCATCCGGCCCCATCACTCCTTGGCAAATAGAAGGGGAAGTCGTGGAAGTAGTGACTTCACGTTCCTAAGATCCCAGATCACCACAGACTGTGACAGCAGCCATGAAATTAAAAGACGCCTGCTCCTTGGGAGGAAAGCGATGGCGAACCTCAACAGCATGATAAAAAGTAGAGACATCACCCTGCCAACAAAAGTCCGCATGGTCAAAGCAATGGTATTCCCAGTAGTCATGTATGGCTGTAAGAGTTGGACTATAAGGAAGGCCGAGTGCCGAAGAATAGATTCTTTTGAACTATGGTGCTGGAGAAGACCCTTGAGAGTCCCTTGGACTGCAAGAAGATCAAATCAGTCAATCCTAAAAGAAATCAACCCTGACTGTTCCCTGGAAGGCCAGATAATGAAACTGAAGCTCAAATACTTTGGCCACCAAATGAGAAGGGAGCACTCACTGGAGAAGACCCTGATGCTGGGAAAGATTGAAGGTCAAAGAAGACGGGGACGGCAAAGGATGAGATGGTTAGACAGTGAAACTGAGCAAACTTCAGAGGATGGCGGAAGACAGGAGGGCCTGGCGGGACCTGGTCCATGGGGTCACGAAGAGTCGGACTCGACTGTTCGACTGAGCAACGACAACAACAAATGTTCCTTGAGAAAGATGGGCTACAAAAACAAATAGTTACTATAAGTTGCTGTAAGACCTGACAGGGGAGGATTGTCCATATCAGTGCTTTTGGTCTGTTTAGTAGCTTTTGATACCATTGGTGATGGTATCCTTCTGCGCTGGTTGACTAGGATGGGACTGGAAGATGCCATTTTAACCAGTTTCATTTCTGCTTGCTGGGGGATCATATGCTCATGGGATATCTAATCTGGTCTCCATGATCTGAAAAATCTACATGAAACCAGAGAGCAAGGTCATCTGGAGATTTGGAACAGCTAGATTTGAGTCCAGTAGCACCTTAGAGACCAATAAGATTTTTGGAGTATACGCTTTTGAGAGTCAAAAATCCCTTTTGACTCCCACAAGCTTGTACCCCAAAATCTTGTTGGTCTCTAAAGTACTACTGGGTTTGAATCTAGCTGTTCTACTGCAGGCCTTTATGGCTACTCTCTGAAACTATCTTCATGGAGATTTGGAGTACAGGATCATTAATAGTAATATCTGGAGATGGTGAAAAGCTGGATGTGGGCAAATGAACTAAAGCTTAATCTGGGCA